GGCACAGTTGAAAGTGTAAATGGATTGCAGGGATGTGTATGGTCTCACTATAACAAAATTGGGTTTATATGACGCAAAAATTGTGCTAGTGTCCTGATAGACTGTTTTATAGGACATGAGTTTATAATTGATGACAAAATATCTGGTTGTTAAAATAAATGAAGCTTTTTGGAATTGAATGAAGCTTTTTGGAATTATCTCCTTCCAAGAAGAAAGGATATTATATTTTATGACCATATAATAACAAAAAAGGATTAGCTTGGACATGCTTTATAGGTTTCTAGAAGGAAAAATTTTAAAGATAGATTTGGATTTTATTGTTTTGAATGATTAAGTTTTTGGACAATTTTTTAAAATATACATTATTAGACTTTGTGAAACATGTTAGATAGCTTCTTGGACTTTTAAAAACTTGTTAAATATATTCTTACGATGAATAGCCTCTGACATGTAGTTCAGTTAGCAAAAAGGTGTGGAAACTTTGTCCAAATCCTTATGATGAATAAATTGTTAGATTTATAAAATCATTAGTGATTCCAAACCTTACAAAATTTGTACCTAAAGCATAAGTAAATACATATATAAAAATAAAGTAGCACCAATACATTATTGAACTCACGAATCAAATTAAGGGAGAATTTCAAATAATACTAATAACTTATTTTTTTTAATTAACCTGGATATCCAACTCACTATACGAACCGACTATTTGAAATCAAGCAAGTAGCATATGAGATCTCATTTATATAGGAATAACAGATCGTATCAATAAGAAAATAGAAAACAAATGAAAAAAACTTAAGATATTAAACATGGAAATCAGTAGATCAGAGCTGGCATATACATGCTAGTAAGCTTAGGTATTCATGATTCAACAACATTTTCATACGAAGGAGATATTAACGACTTATGAAGGGACAAAGATGTTAAGGAATGGGGAGTTAACACTACAATAAAATCGGGTTTATAGGACACTCCCAATTTCTAAGCGTCCTAATAGACCTGTTTATAAGACTTAGTTTATAGGACCAAAAAAATAAAGTGTTCTATCTAAAGGCGTTGTAATAAGTTTATATGACGTTTTTTTGACGTCGTAATAAGTATTTTAAGACATTTTTAATATAAAACGTCCTATTAGCAACTTTATAGGACACTATTTGAAAAATTATCCTGTAAAAACAAATTCCAATAAAAAAATTGAGTTTATAGGACACTTTCTCAAAGTTGCTAATGCGACACTTTGTATTAAAAATGTCCTAAAAACTTGTTAAGACGCCCAAAAGCGTCATATAATATTATTACAACACCTTTAGATATGACGCTTTATATTTTGGTCCTATAAATTATGTCCTATAAAGCGGTCTATTGAGACGCTTAGAGATTGGGGGTGTCATATAAACCCAATTTTGTTGCAGTGTGGCTGGACGGACGCCTCGGTTGAGCGGTGACAATGGCGATGGAGGACTGGTCAGGCTGAGGGCAGCGGTAATGGAGGACTGGGTGGCCACGACGACGGAGGACTGAGCTGAAAGCGGCGCGGCGACAACGGGTGGTGTAGGGTGACAAGATTGAAACAAAGGTGGAGAGGGAGCATGGAATGGGCCAGATGATTCACGTTTAGGATAGTTTTTTAGGATGTTTTTAATTTATAGTTTTACTTGTTATATGGGTTGCATACGGGTTGTAGGTTGTATTTTTAAGTAATAATGATTTATTTAATATGTTTTGAAAAGTCTAAGGATTTATTTAACACGTTTTGAGATGTACACAAACACATTTATTCAAAAAAAATAATTCAAATACTTAATCATTCCTCACAATAAAGTTCATTGGATTTTTTAACTTTTTCCATTTATTTTTATACAATATCTTCTTTTAACTAAATTAATTTATATAGTACATATTAGGTTTTTTATGGTTAATGTACTCGGATTGCTTTGGGTTCGAGTTGGTCGGGTTTCGGGTTCAGGTCGGTCAGGTTCGGGTTTAGCTATAATGCAAAAAATATATATCCAATCGATTTTGATGATGAATTCAACCGATTTAAAGAATTGATAAATCGATAGTATGCTTAGAAATTAGAAAAAAACATGATCGACCAAGATTTTTAGAAGTTTTAAAAGATAATTAAATAAATAAGGATGTTTGTGAAATCTATGAAGAAAAGGAAGATGTCGAATGGTTTCACGAACAGTAGGAGTTTCCAGACAAATTGAACATTCTTGAAGACTTTCAGCCTCCAGCCACAAATGGTAATTATTTCATTCTCACATCTGTTAGACTTGTACCATTTATTCTTTATTTATGTTGGAACCTCCCTTCAATTCTTAAAAGCTCTTCTGGAGAGTAATCTAATAAGATTTGACATATTCTAACATGGTATCAAAGCCAATGTCTATCACTTTAAGGACTCCACACTCGTTGGGACAATTTATACTCGTCTAGCCACCTCAACCATCTATTCCCCTCTCGAGACTCCGAGAAGATTTATGCCCGTCTAGTTTCCTTTGGAGGAGCATATAAGAATCACATAGACTAGACTTGGACCATTTCCACCTATATATGTCTTTGAACCACTTTCTCTCCTCAATGTCTCTTTTGGTGAGTAATCTAATAAGGTTTCATATATTCTAACATGGTATCAAAAAAGCCAATTTATATCGCTCTGGGACAATCTATACTCGTCTAGCTCCTCACCCATCTATCCCCCTTTCGACACTGTAATAATTTGTGCCGCCTCGGTTAGAGGTGGCGTGTTATTTGACTCTTTGGTAGTGCCTGCCACTTATCAATGTATGCCATTGATTCCTGATCTGAGTCTGGAAGTTGGCGTTCTTCAAGGATGTTCAGAATCATTTTGGATTCACCAAAAGACGAGATGTAGTCTGGATTCTGATGACACTTCAGAGTTATGACTCGTGATAAGTTGGTAAAGCAAGCCCATAATAGCTCTGCGATTATAGTTGAAATCCACTCAAAAAGCTCCACATCTGTTGGCCAATTTTCTTGTTCATAGAGCAGTATGGTTTATCTAATTCTGTACACGAAACCTGCAGCAATGAACTTATGAAATGAATTATCTACACTACTCTTTTTGCTTCTCTTGAACAGAAACGCAATCTTTACTACGACATCACCTAACCATCATCAATTTCCAGCCAACTGCAGTGTTAGGGACTGAATTTCGGATGAGATATAGGGACCGGATAAAAATCAAGAATCGTGTCGGAAAGCAATTTCCGAATACAATAATTCTACCCTATTAGACTTGGGTTCACGAATTTCGTGTTGGGATAATTCTTGAGATTATTCTCTCTTTCAAAGGCTGTGAAATCAAGATATCTCTATCCCCATTCTTGGTTTACATATTTAAATAAGAGATCGACTGTTTAACGGTTACAACCGTTAATGGATAAGGTCAAGGACCAGTTACAACCGAACTTGATTTCTGATTTCTGAAACCAGCAGGTCAGTGCCGTCACTGATCACACATTCAGCTATAGGCCCATGCAGCGATAAGCTGAAACTCACGTTCAGTGATAGCTGAAGACATAATCAGCAACTGTTGAAGGCCAATCAACAACAACCGAACACACATTCAACGATGGCTTAGTGATGGCTGAACTTAGTGAAATTTCTAAGTCTTCATAACTTACCCCGCTTTATGGCAATCCAAGGTGATAGGGAAAACATTTTTAAGCAAGGGCGAAGCTTAAATAATTGATCTTAAGTAAATCGCTATTACATTTAAGTGTTTGATAACACTAAAATCACCAACATGCGGTATACTTCAGCCTCATTCCATATATGTTGATGCAACAGATAAAAATCAAACCACACACTAATCTCGTTGATTATGTGAATGCCCAAGAATAATCTCTTCCAAAGTTCGTTAATTTGACAAATACTAAACTTTGGGGTTCAAATCGAATTCAAAAAATTTATGCATTAAAGCAAGGACCATGCGGATTACATAAACAACATGGGAAATAAAAAGGCCAAAACGAAATGAGCCTAAAACATAAAAATGTACAAAAACATGCTTAAATTACGTTTTTCCTTTTTTCTTTTTTTTGATTAACCTAGATATCCAACCCGATATGCGAGCCGACTAATCCCAGGGCGACCACCTGTTTTGCAGATAGCCCAGAGTCACCGTATTTGAACCTCCGTAGCCACAAGGGGATTTTTATTCCTGCTTGGATTTGAACCTGTAACCTCCTGGTACTTTTAACCTTTGAAGTCAAGCTCAAACCAATCAAACACCATCTTGTAGTTGTTTTTCCTTTCTTTTTCAAGAACCGATCCTGTTCATCAATACTTGATATGTGGATGTCGTTGAAAGCTTAAATGCATAATTGAGCAAAAAAGCCTCCACCCAAACATAGGCCATCGATTGAAATTTGTTCTATCCATAAAAAATAAGTTCAAATTTTTATATTATTTACAACTTTGGACGTATCTAAAAAGTAACTTTAAACGATATAATATTTTCTTGAGTCGCACTATTTTATTTTATTTTAAAGAGAAAACTAATTTATTTTCTCTGATCTATTTTCATGTGTTCATGTAAAGATTGAGTATCACTATATTTTTGAAATGATATATTCACAGACTTAGGTTTCATTTGGTTTTAAGGAATGAAATCAATTTGGAGGGATTTGTATTTTAAATCCATTTTAATTCTATGTTTGGTTTGTTGGATTGTCCGGATTTGAAATCTTAGGATTTAATTGAACTATACAACTTCTCTAGATGAATGAACTTAACTGTAAATTATGAAACTCTCACAATAACAAAATTGGGTTTATATGACGCCAAAATTGTGCAAGTGTCCCGATAGACTGTTTTGTAGGACATGAGTTTATAAGACCAAACGTTAAAGTGTCTTATCTAAAGATGTTGCAATGGGTTTATCGGAGGCTTTTAGGTGTCTTAACAAACTTTTTAGAACAATTTTAAAATACGTATTAACTATTATGCCACCTGCTATGAGATCATTAGATAATAGTTACAATGAGTGATTCATTAGAACTTGAAGAAGCTGGTTGAATCGAAGAACAACCATTGGGTATCTGACTCTTTGGTAATGAATGCCACTTATCAATGTATGCCATCGAGTCCAGATCTATGTTTGGAAGTTGACGCCCTTCAAGGATATTCAAAATCGTTTTGGATTTACCAAGAAGTCGAGCTGCAGTCCGTATGCTCTCTTCCCTTTTCTCTATTGCATCGTGATGACATTTCAGAGTTATGACTCGTGGTAAGTTGGTAAGGCAAGCAAATAATAGATCTGCAATCGTACTTGATATCCATTCAAAAACTTCCACATCCGTTGGCTGATTTTCTTGTTCATTGCAATGGAGCAGTATGGTTTGGCTGATTCTATACATAGAACTCGCAGCAATGAACTTATGATGTGAATCATCTACACTGCTAGTTTTGCATCTCTTGAACTGTATCACAATCTTTACTGCTTCATCGCCTAACCATTGAAGAATCTCCTCACACGTTTTTCCTTTACGAGCCTCCTTTTGAAGATCAATTTGTAGCCAACCGCTGTATACGTCGACTTCAGTCCATACACGTCGAGCTGTCTTTCTTGCCTCTACCAAGTCACCATTTGCATTGAGGGTTTCTTCGATATGTCTAACAAATTGGAGCCCTTCACTCATGCTAGCTAGTAACCTTTTGACTTGGCCATTTGCAATATTGGGAAGTGCAAGGGCAATGGTTGTTAATGTTACAACTACTAGGCTCCAGCAATTGTGTATTTCTTCCTGATAAAAAGGCAGGACTTGGTCATTGTCGAACTCTGCTACTCCATTGAATCCTCTAGATTTCTCTAGAAACTTGATAAGATTTATCGGTTGTTTCTCTTCAGACTTGTGAAGAAGTTTCGTTATCGATCTCAGCATATTTCTCAACAGTCTGTTTGAAAGCTTCGCCCCGTCTTCAATTTGTAGAACATAACCAATATATTCTTCAATCTCTGATCTCACGCTGTTGTTGGATGCATCTGAGTCCTTTTTAAACCTCTTCAATAATGAGTTGCAGAAATGGCAACAGGAATAGAATAAGAGCATCATGCATGTGGGAACGAGACATAAAGTTTTACAAATAACCACAACCGTTACCTGAAGTGCTATACAAAAGTTCAAAATCAAGCTTTTGACATTATGGAGAAAGATTTTGCAGTGGCGGCCTGGGATATGTGAATCTACATGGTTGCTTTTCCACTGTCGAAGCCATTGTGTCCAATGTTTCTCGATGTTGAACATGTTTAGATGGTTGATGCTCCATTCCTTGGAGAGGTTGAAATAACTGATAGCAGTGATACATCTAAATATCGGTGCAATACTACCTACTAAAATCCCGATCAATTGGACAGTTAGAATTACGTTGATGGACCACTTATAATCTGATTTTCCATACCAAAATTTTGAATTGTCACCGAAGAGGATCATCAACTGCGAAACTGAAGAAGCAGCGAAGTATGAGCATATCAACCCAGAAGCAGAACAGATGGGTGAACATGCAAGCACAAATTGGGGATTACCGGTTTCCGCCATCATCCAATATTTTTTAACATGATGTATGAGTTCTGTGGAGGAGAACTTTACCTCTTGGCGATTTAAAGCTGATTCGTGTAACTCCTTGTACTGATGTTCTAAAACTCTTCTAGATGTTGGAACTGTCAATGCTACCCAAAATGGCCATAGAAGAAGAAATATAATTATAGACATTTCTACCACAACATTTGCAAGAACAAACTGGGTAGCAGTTTGAATGCCTATATTTACAATAATGGTGATGATGAGAATACCCAGGGCTATGATGTTCATGAAAAGTTCCTTGTCATCCATGCCCCCTAAAGAAGGGAGAAAGTTAGCTAACATGGTGAACAAGAAAGCAATTCCAAGATACTTTGCACCCTGTTCATTATCACTAGGCATGTCGGTGGTTAGATCCACCGGTAGCTTCATTGATACTGCTATCAATGTGATGGAAGCAGCGTTGATGGTGAAAAATCTGCAGGGAAACCAGAGTTTCCTTTGTCGAAAGCCTTGGAAGGCATCGGTTGCCATTGCAAGAGTACAGATCAGAGAAGATGCAACAATATACAACCCCACCCACGGCATGGCATCTTTAGGAGAGTGCCAAGTCATCTTGCTAGACAAGGGAAGATGAGGTTTTTTCTTGATTTACTACAACATATGCTAACTGATGCTTGATGTGTATATAATACATATACATATATACATACATATATATATACTTTAGATGCTTAAGTTCTAGTAATGATTGTGATTATAGTTTCCACTTGTAATGTTTCTTCCTTTTTTTCCTTCTCCGGGCCAACCAAACCGAACAACGGTTGATGGGAGTATGTGGTTATAAGCAATGTAAACGCTAAAGATCGACTCATAATCGACACATCAGAAAGAGACATGTCAATCAAGATTTCAATTTTCCATTTTTATGGTCTGTTTTTGTAGCTAAAAGATTGACTCCATCTACATTCCCATCAAGGAAAAGTCTCATGATGGAACAAGTGTTTACATTGAGAATTCAAAAACAAAATCTCCCATAAGAAAAAGTCTCATGATATATCAAGTGTTTACACTAAGAATTCAGTTTATTAAAATAAAGGAAATTTGTAGTTGACTAAGATGTGTGGTGTTTTTTTTAGCAGCTTCTTGAGTCTCAGTTTTTATTTCACTCCTGATTTATAAGATGTGGTGTTGGAATTTGAAATCTGAATCAATTAAACTGTTTATTTTTGTAAACAATGCATGTATTTACAATAATGGCGATGATGAGAATATCCAAAGCTATTATGTTGGTGATTGTCATCCATACCCCTTAAAAGAAGGGAGAAAGTTAGCTAACATGATGAACAAGAAACAAAGGCTCTTTAGTTTTTACGAACTGGTCATTAAAGTCAGGCATGTCGGTTGTTAGATCCGTTGTAGCTTCATAGATATTGCTACTTTTTCGAAAACCTTGGAAGACATTGGCAACCATTGCAAGAGTTGCAAATAAGAGATGCTATGGCAACATACAACCCCCCCCCCCCCCCCCGGGATGGCGTCCTTCAAGAGTGCCAAGTCATCTTGCTTCGCATACGAAGATTAAGTTTTAACTTAAATTAGTAGAACAAATGCTATCTAATGCTTGATATATATATATACATATATATATATATATATATATATGCACACATACAGACACACATACATACCACACACACATGTACATATATAACTTCAATTATGTAATGTTTCTTCCCTCTTTCCTTCGCAAGAGCCAGCATGTTGATGATGATTAATGTGTGGAGGTAGGGCTGTAAAGGAACCGAACGAACACGGACGGAGGCTTATTCATGTTCGTTCATTTAACTTAACCGAACAAACGAACGAACACGAACAGTAAACGAACGAAAATCTTTGTGTACGTGTTCGTTCGTTTAGAAATAAGGTGTGTTCGTTAACATGCTAAACAAACGTAAACGAATGAACATAAACGAACGGGCTAAACGAACATACACGAACGAGCTAAACGAACATAAATAAATATTATTTGAATTCAAAATAAATAAATAAAAGATTATATATTAAATTTAATATATAAACGAACATAAACGAACGAATATAAATGAACGTAAACGAACGGTAAATGAACGAACGAGACTCTTGTTTATGTTCGTTTAACTAAACGAACAAAAAAAAATTGTTCATGTTCGTTCATTTATTAAATAAATGAATATAAACGAACTTTCCGCCGAACGGTTCGCTGAACGTTCGGTTCGTTTACAGCCCTATGTGGAGTTCTTTGAAAGCATGAAGCCATGAAAACATAATATTTATTGGGCCTTATCAAATATCAATGGATCTCCACTTTGGGCTTTCTACTAACTACTAAGCCCCCCAAACTGAAAAATGGGCCAATGGGCCTAAACCATAAAAAGCTGTCTTATAACTTCTAATTTGAAACTTAGTCTACAACTCTACACTACAAATCAGGTAAGTGAACATCAAGTTACACTTCTCTACCGGATGAATATAGTAAAGACCAAGAATCTTACCCGGTAAAAGTAAGACAAGGACCAAGAGTCTTACCCGGATGACTCTTACCACGATAAGTGCTTACCAGGTAAATTATTGCATAGGATACTGTTTTGGTGGACTAATATCTTACCCGGTAAGTAAATGATAGTGTTAAATTTTACCGATAAGCGCTTACCGAGTAAGTGTTTGGTAAACGGCCCCTAAAACTGAAAATTATGCAAAAATATATACTTCAAACAACTTTAAATAGAAAACATTGGAATTTTAAAGAGTAATATATAAGTTATCGGAAAACAAATAAAAAGGTAGAAGGCAAGTAATTGGGAGCATGGATGATGATGGATGGTTGTGGAAGGGGACATATCCTTTCATTCAACATGGGAGTGTCCACCATGCATGGATGCCCATCTATCTTTTCCCCATGTATTTTTGTTTCATAAGTTGTTTATTTACCTCTTAATAGTTTTATTAAAAGATAAATTTTGTTTGATAAAATTTTTTTGTCTCTTTATGGTTTTAAAACCTTCTAAATGATTTTGTATCTTAGGTCTCCCTTAACCATTCAGTGTCATATTTCATTGTAAACAATTACCAAACAGTTATATTTCATTTTGCATTACATCATGAAAACTTCTTAATCATTCTGATCACTTAATTATTCAGCACCAAACCATTCAACAACTGTCAGACAACTCCTTAGAAAAACTTGTATTGTTGTAATAAAATTTTAAGTTATAGATTATAACATAATGTTAATTAAAGAATTATTATTAATACAATCAGAAACTATGCAGAAACAAGTGTATATTTGTGTTGAGCAGATTCATATACTGATTAATAATACAAAGTTGTTTTTAATTTTTCTTTATTTATCGTAAAGTTACGACCAATATAACGTATAATTACTTTTTTTATGTCATTTATATTTAAATTATACATTTACAATGTAATACATGTATATTATTAAGGTATTTTTTTTTTCTTTATAAATACATTGACCGTCAACGATGCATAAATGACTATAGTGACAACTCGTATTTCTTTTTTTATTTATTTATTGTTATTATCTTGAAGATAATTTAAAAAATAGACTTTTTATATAATTTACACCTTATTTATAAAAATGCTTCTATAATTTTCTTTTACTTATATACATTTATTTTTTAATTAAATTAATTTTGTTTATGACTAAATATGTATCTTTTTAATGTCAGAATCAGATCAATTATATAATAAAAATGTAAAAAGTAAGTTTTGATGTTAATTTGCATCAATGTAATTTTTATTTTAATATATAATTTTTGTATTTTATTAATTATATGATAATATTATTAGCTACAGTTTCAATGGTTAGATTAGTGATCCTCATGATGGATATTGCATGAACATGCATTGATGCTTGCTGGTGCTTGCAGAAATACGCAGCAGTAGTAGTTATTTATTAATTATTTTCTAAATATTCGTACTTATTATATTAATTTAATAAAATTTAATTAATATTTACCAGCCTATGGATCAGCGATGTCTAGGATCGAGCATACACTACTACGAGCATCTTCAACTGTTTACGGATTACTTCATTTCCAATTAAAAAATGAATTTTATTGGTTATTTTCAAAACATTATAATAATAATATTTTCATATTTATAAAAATAAAAACATATTAATTTTCTAAACCTATGCTCATTTGTTGAAATGAATATGCGCATGTATGAAGACGGTTTTTTAAATCAAACAGTTAATTAATAAACGATTCAGATTAATGAAATTTTTGTGTCATGTTTTTACAGGATATGTTGAACGAATGAGTGTTATGTATGACGTATGTGGGATGATAAGTCAAAGTCGGGATGATGGTATATATATGTGTGTGTTATAAGTCTACAAATATTGTACACGGATCATTTTGAAACTCTATATATCTATATGTGGTATCGTATACCAAAAAGATGTTAAAATATGTATGTACAAAGTATTTATATATTTTTTAATTGTACCATGTGGCTTTAAGTGTGGTACATCTACTTTGTGTACCCTATGAGACCAACCAAATAAATAAAACTTCTCCATTATCCTAAAATAAATATTTTTATTAAAAATATTGAAATTTATGAAGAAAAAAAAAAGGAAAAAATTATGACCAAATAAATAAAAATATCGTTTGAAGTAAATATGCGTATTTTATACTCCTGCCATCACATTAACCAGTTTTAATTAAATTACGAAACATAGACTATTTATCATAAACGAAAATTTAAGAAGAAAAAAACTTTAATTTATAAAAATTAGAAGAATAATAAGATTAATTTAATCATAAAAAATATAAATATGTAATCAATAAATATTTTACTAATAATGAATAGTTCCAAAAATATAAAACTACAATTACTAGTTTTATCGATTTTAACATTAAATAATTAATAATTTTCATTTCAATAAATAATTTACGGTATAATTACCGCAAAATAGATGACGTCATTTTATATTACTTTAACATTCTTTGTAAAAATTTCTTCATTTATCATTATTTTTTTTGTGAATCTTCTTCACGGAAATCGACACAGCTTTCGTATTAATATATATTATTTTAAATTATCTTGATAAATAAAATATATATTTTTTTATTCACTTCTTTACATATCAAAGGTTATTATAACATAAGTAACAATTAGCATCGCATTGGATAATGTACCATCATCATACGATATACAATAAGTATGTATATATATATATATAGAAATTGATTATATGTTATTTTTTTATTTGAAAATATTTTTTTGGTATATTATTACTGGTATAGTTTATTAGTTTTGATAGTTTTCTTGATTTATTCTATTAAATATTTTGTACATTTAATAATTAGTTAATAATTTTTATTTTAATTAAACATTATTATTTTCAGAATTACTTATTTTAATCATGGTAAAAGAGATTCTACTAAGGGAAATTTGTAGCATTACAAATGGAAAATTCAAAATGTAACAAATTAGAACAATACATTAGGTAGATATCTCAAAACATTAATTACTCTACGTTTTTAAACAAAAGTAATAGGTAGGAAAAAGAAAAACAAGAAATGGGATGGATTGATGCAAAAATGCTTTGGTGAGTTTGGTATGAAAATTGATATTCTTTCATTTGTATTGATTTAATTTGATCAACTACAAACTATTAGCTAAACTTTGTGTTCTTTACTCATCTAATCAAGTAGAGTAAATTGTACATATTATCGTATAAGTATAAAGGGGGGTGTATATATATATATAGAGGTTGGTTCAAATAGAAACCAACCATATGGTACAAACTATGGAAACCGATCTTGATCAATCACATTCTTTCTTCACTTTAGGTTCAAATCTAAATTATAAATTAATGADAAVRGTAATTTGGTAATTCAWCCTTTTTGTAACCCCCAATAATTAATTGGGAGTTACAAATCTTAAAAGATGCATCTAATTGTTCATTGTCTAAGTGTACAAGATTTTCATTTCGTTCAAGATACATGGAGAATCCTATTGTAAAAGAATGTCAGAATAATGAAGACGATAAACGCTTGCAGTCTATGTTCATATCTGCACACATGCACAACGATCCTTGATTTTGAAAATGTTCATATATGTGCATCTCTTGCAGTCTATGTTCATATCTACACACATGCACAACGATCCTTGATTTTGAAAATGTTCATATATGTGCATCTCTTGCAGTCTATGTTCATATATGTTTACCATATGAATAACTTGTTTTCATTGAAAGACACAATCGTTGTTCACACGAACCCGTGACGATGTCATATGGTATGACATTGAAAAACATCACACCATATGAACATAATATTTACATTGTAAGACACAGATGCTGTTCACACGAGCATAGGGCCGACATGTGAACATGAGTTGTGAATATGTTCATAATCGATCGTAGGTTACAAACGGTTGGAGAATATCGGGTTCACGATGCGTGAGGATTTATTACCAAAATACCCTGTGAACAATTGTTCATAAGCAGCCCAATTAATTTAATGATTAATTGATTATTTTTTAATACTCATTTAATAATGACCGTTTGACCAATTTACCCTTTGAACAATTGTTCATACACATATCAATTAATACATTAATTAAATTATTGTTTATTTAATCTCATTTAATAATAACCGTTTGATGATAAAATGAACGATAAAATCGGTTCACATAGTTTGTACCATATGGTTGGTTTCTATTTGAACCAACCCTTATATATATATATATATATATATATATATATATTAAATATATTAAATATCATATATTTTATACTAACTAATGTATGAAGTATATTGTTTTTAGATAAAAAAGTAAAACGGTCAAAATACCCCTAGTTTAACTAGAGCTAAGTTAACATAGTTAGGTTAAGGGAGCCAATTCGTAATAAAAGTGAAACTACAATGATGATGCTTGTAATTTTTTTCGTTTAGAGGACTTAAGTTAAATTTTCGTATAACTATAAGGACGAAATTTGTAATTTACTCTTTAAACGCTTGTTCACTAAAGGTTGTATTTTTGTATCTTCTAAAAACCCGAGACAACATGCATGAGATCAAATCATCGCGGTTAACCCATAGATGAAAGAATTAGGTAATATGAATTACAAATTGATACTCAAAACTATTGTTGATTAATTACGATATTTGGTATTTTAATTCTCTTAGGGTTCATTTACTGAAACACTTACATTGATAAGTGTTTACCAGTTCAATTACCTTATCGGATGAATGAAACCGAGAATCTAACCCAGTAAGAGGGAAACAAAGATTGAAAACCTTATCCAGTAAGTGAAGGTGACGACTCTGTAGAATAAATATCTCTTGAATAGAATACAAAGATGAACATAGCAAGCTTATTCGAAAGCCAAATCATGACTTTTATTCAAATCAAAAACAACTACAGGCTTCTATAGCCATTACAGAGAGAGAAAGCTACAAATAAAAAGCCAAAAAATCTGGAACAAACAAAGAAGAAATCAAAACCTATCTAAGTAGACGTGACCCTCCAGAAAAGCTGAAGAGTCAGTCTTTATTGTTCAAAGCATAGAAGACTTGTACTTTGCTGAACTATCTACACAACACAAAGTCCAACAATCCCTCCTTTAAGTTGGACACCATTGTGTATCACCTTACCTTCGATATCTTAACTAGACCCAGTGACCCTCGAAATTTCACAAATTGTTCCTTCTTCGAGGGTTTAGTCATAACATCAACAATTTGATCCCGAGTACTGCAGTAGCTCAGCTGCACTGTTCCATGACTCACCAGGTCTCTTGAAAAATGAAACTTGATGTCGATGTGTCTGCTCTTACCATGAAACACATGATGGTTTGAAAGTTGGATGGTTGAGCTATTGTCACACTGAATTATGTTGCATCCTCTTGTAGAGTATCCCTAGCTCAATAGTGCCTTGAATATATCTCAGAATCCTCTTCGTTGCACACCAATGTTCTTCAGTAGGAGATTCCATATATCTGCTAATCAAGTTCAAGGTGTAAGTAATGTCGACCCTCGTTGTAGTTAAATACATGAGACTCCCAACAATCTACTTGAACTTGGTAGAATCAACCATTGTTCCCTCCTTGTTATTGAAATTCTCGTTCCTGACATAATTGGATTTCCGACAAAATTGTTGTTCTCCATACCAAACCTTCCCAAAATTTTATTTGCTTACCTCCTCTGATAAATAAAGATTCTCTTGTTGTTCTGTAAGACTTTCATTACCATAAAATGTCTCATCTTGCCAAGATTGGACATATCGAACTCAGTCACAATAGAACTCTTGAACTCTTCACACAGCCTTCTACGACTGTTTCCTGTGTAGATCAAATCATCTACATATGAACTCACTATTAGTAACATACCTCTCTCCTCTCTCTTTTTTGTAAAAAGTGTTTACTGGATTATAATAAGCGTTTACCAGCAATCCAAAGTGATTGTCGAGAATGTTATCCTATAAGGTAAACAAGAGTGATGACTCTAATCGATAAGTGTCTAGTAAACAACCTCTTAACTAATTCAAAACCATTTACATTAATTAAATGTATTTCAAATAAAAACATGACCTATAAGAAATCAATGACACTTGAATATTTTAAATTTAAGGCAATTGCCCAATGCTTATTGGCGTAATTAGTAATTGCTAAACTTATATTCATCTTGAGGTTGATGGAGGCACATGATCACATGAATATTTTTCCTTTTATAATCCAATTTATTTTAAGATTTTCATAATTAAATTAAAAGTAATGCACATGGTAATCTTGGGTCGCGTGAGTAACTTTACAAAAAATAATTTATTAATTATAAAATCATATTCTGATTAAAACTTAGAGATTTTATTTTCATAAAATCTCAAAAAATTAACAATTTAATTGCAAGATTGATCCTAAACGTAAATAATACTATTCTACTGACAGAGAATATATATTTAATCTGTTTAATCAATACTTTATTAATTACAATTTTGATTCCACTTACGAAACAAATAATCTCTACATTAAGAATTAATTATTCTTAATATTTGAACCAAACCCAATAATTACATTAAACTATATAATAAATATCAAAAATGCTAATTATTATAATCATCGAAATTGAAATTTTATTAAATATAATTTGAGACACGAGAAATAACTGATAGATAATGAAATAGAACAATTCAATTACAGTTTAATTGAATGTTCTTAACAATTGAAATTTCTTCACGATAATCTAATTTTAATTTTCACCAAATTATCAAAAATAAATTCATTATTAAACTATTCTAAATATTGAAAATATGTACATTCCTTTGGTTAATTAATCCATTTTATGAATTTTTTTAGAATTTTTAAATCATATAAAATAGAAAACGAAAATGAAAATGAAAAGGTTAATATGGAAAATTGACTCAATGATTTGCCAAACTTTTGGCAAAATAAACTTAATTGACATTACAAGCTTCTAAATTTACCTCTCCTAAATTTCACTATTTTTTTCGAAATTTAAAAAATAATACAAAACTTCATAAGCTACGATTTAACCCTATGAAATTTTGGTTTGAAAGATTGCAAAAATCGACTAAAATAATTTTCAAGAACTAAAATAATCAGAAAGTTACGCCTTGTTCACCCTACACCGGACTTATTAGATAAGTTGTCGATAATCCGGACCAATGTGCTGATGAATTAGATAGTCGTCGGGTCCTTTTGGGACGTCGAACATCATATTCTGGTGATGGAAGAATGGTTGTGGGTGTGCTCTTTGCATCTCCTTTTGCCTCCTTAGCTCAAGGACCTTACGATGCGAATTTGAGTGTTTTGTTAGAACAAATGTTGGGCTTGCAGCTGGTCGATACTCAGGGACTAGTCGACCAGACTTGTAGCGAACCCCACAGGCGTTACACAGTGTTTTTGGACCTAATGGTCCAGTACGCCATTGAGGGGTTTTATCAGTGGCACAATGGAGACACTTCCGGCCTTCTCCATTATGGGACGCGTTCTCAAAGACCTCTTTTTTCTTCGGTGGGGCTTTCACGGTTTTCTTCCCAGTCGAAGTTGACACGATATCAGACTCAGACTCCGACGACATAGTCGCGGTAGGTCCGGTGGACGTTGGAGAGAGAACAAGGAGTCGGGAGGTCCAATTGCAAGGTGCGGCACGAGACCGCTTGGTTCGTGCCTTGCCTGGGACCGTCATGTCCGTGTTGAATATCGGGTTGGTGGTTCGGTTGTCAGTCTCGTGCTGGAATTGGTGCGTCTCGGATGGGTCGTCGGGTCGGGGTTTGACTCCGGATATCAGTTGAAGCTTCTCCATGTCTTCACTCGAAAACGATTCCTCCACAAAATTCGATAGCCATTCTAGCTCAGCCATATCATCATACTGTAAATACCACAAATTGAACTCTTTGAGTTCCCATAATTCATAAAATTACAACGACCTACTTTGTAAAAACATACTTTAAAACTTATATTTGTAATATATATATATATATATATATATATAAAATTAAACATTGTGCTCACTAGTCGCTACGAAAAGAAGTAAAGCGAAGCTTTCTTTTTCGAGAAGATCTCGCCAGTCACCACCAAAAAAGCTACTAATATAACGTGAACTTTAATTTTGTAACCATTTAACTTTAATTAATCTATATTTAATTAATTATCTTATTTTAATTTAATTAATTTTTACAAGCATAATGTTGTAAAAACCAAAAACTACAACAAAGTATAATCGTTATAAATATTGAGAAATTATTTAGTTATGATATAATTGTAGTTTTATGCAAATATAAATAGGGTTAGAGAAAATGCATGGCAGTAGTATGCATTAGTTAATTGTATGGTACAGCTGAGTAATGCGTTGAAGATTGGAATGAATGAATTACCGGAACACCAAGGTCGTGAGAGAATTGAGTGTCGGTGAAGGTCCGGCGAGCAACCTCTCCGGTGAAGTTAAGGTCGGTGGCACCACAGACGGAGGAGTTGCAGCTGTCGACAGCGGCGGCGCCGGTGGTAAGATTGGAAGAGTCGGTGGTGGTGTTGTTATTATTATTATAAGGGAGGAGGTGAATCTTATGATCATCATGATCATCAGGAAGGATTTCGTCGGTCGGAAAATTAAGAAGATCGTCGATGATGAAATGCTCGGTTTTGACGTCGGAGTGTCGTTTATCGAGGGTGAAGAATTGGGGAGGAGTTTCCATGAATTGGTGGGATGGAATTGGAATTGGGAAATGGAAATGGAAATGGGGAATAGTAACGTAGAAAAAGGGTATGTGTGTTAGAGAGAGGAAGTGTGTGGAGGAGGAGAGAGTTGAGGACTGAGGTTGAGAGTTTATTTGCGTTTGAAGGGGGCTGCCGGACACCTAAAAATATGGACCTTTTTTTGACGAAATGCAATTTTTTTAATTAATTAATTATTATTATTATATGCATTAAATTAATTAATATTAATTTAATATTTAAATAACAAAAAATGTGTATGCATACACGCTTCACGCTTGTATACATGATCACTAAACGTGTACAGGATCTAAGCTTCATTTTGAAGTTTTCATGTAAATTACGAAAATTTAAAATTTAAAGGTTTTGGTAAATGCATTTACCGTGAACGATAATTTGTGTATACTTTTCGTAACTTGAAAAATTAAAAGGCTATTTTTAATCTAGTTTTCAGATGTTTCGGGGTTTTAGTGGGTCTGGTTTGAAGGGAATCCGGTAATTTATAAGTGATTTTCATTTTCGACATATAAGAATGTAGTATGTGTTGGATCATCATGTATTTATCAATGTATCAGTTTTTTGTAAAAGATATATATTTATCTACTTTACCACTTATGGGTATTTTTTTAAGCATATAATATTTATATATGATAAATGTACAAATAAACTCACATACCCTTCTCACTTTTGGTAATCATGAGTGTTCGAACCAACTTGTGTACACCTCGACTAATTCATATGGTTCTGAAAATAGTCAGGAAAATCTCTAATAACCTTGCAGAACTTGAAATGATGACTTCTATGATCCCAAAAGACCAAACATTATTGACAGTTGAGTTATCGGTTGATTGTGTTTTAATTTAATTTATTGAAAACAAGATTTATATCTTTTGGTATAATTTAGTTGTAAATTTACATATTTATATGTCAATAATCATATTGATTTTGATCGATTTGTTAGCTCAATTTCTCTTATTAACGGGTGTTTATTTTTAATAAAAGAAATAATTCTTAAAATATTAAGGATTAAAAAACATGTATTAAATCCACGTAGGATAAGGATTAGGTGCTTACATCAGACAAAAGTGGGGCCAATGGTTGATGAAAACGATCCCTAGGAATGATGCCGAATAATTCTTGTAGTACTCACGTCCTCATTGGTAACTGTCCTTTGCATTTACTGCTTTTAATAACAAAAGTAAAAATATAATATTTTATTTTATTATAAAATCAGTTAAATAATAATTAACATTTTAAATAGCTTTTGATATTATCAAAAATTGTAATTAAATATCTAAATCATTTTTTATAACATCAACATTTAAAATAAAATTATAAATACTAATATCAAATAAGAAAATTAATAAATTCTATCAAAAAGTAAGAGAAAGAGTTCATATATTAATAATTAAAATAATCCAAATTTTTTTATTCAAAAATGTATATGTGAACAGATATAACAAATTATTCATATGATATGCATTTTCAAAGGAATTATTTTTAATTATTTAAATTAATTGTCTTTTTTTTTTTTACCTTTTCATGATATTTAGTATTGTTTTTATTAACCTGGATATCTAACCCGTTATGCGAGCCGACTAATCCTAGGACGACCACCTACTTTGCAGATAGCCCGGAGTCACCACATTTGAACCTCTGTGGCCACAAAAGAATTTTTATTTCTTCTTGGATTTGAACCTAATAACTCATGGTATTTTTGATCTTTGGAGTCAACTCAACCAAATCAGGCACCACGCTTATGGTTAAAAAGTAAGCAAAGATAAATATTTCTATTTGAACATCTCACTATAAATGTAAATTGGGAAATTAATAGAAATATTCATTTCCAGACTTTTATAAGTGAAGGGACCAAATATGAAAATTAGATAAAGGTGGCCACTTGCGAAAGTGTTGGGATAAATTTACAGATTTGGTTCATGTATTTACAGATCATACTAAAAAGTTCTTTTAAAAATTTTGACCTCTCTGTAAGTTGAGGAGTTGCTAATTATGAAGGTAATAATATTACTGAAATATTAAGGGGGTGTTTGGGATTGCTTATTTAAAACAACTTATGTTTTTTTGTAAAAGTGCTTATTAACTTATGTGGTATCAAACTGGAGTTTTGTAAAAAGTGTTTGGATTAGCTTACAGCGGTACCAAACTACAATAAGCTGATAAGTTGTTTTTTAGTGTTTGACAAATTTTGCTTATATCTGTAAAATGACCAAAAAAGACGGAGAGAATATTGATGTTGTTATATGGAGAAAGAAGAAGATTGAGATCGATGTTATCTGGAGGAAAAAAGATAGGTATAAAGGGTAATAGGGTTAAAATGGTAAACTGGTAATAAGCAGTTTTTCATAAGTCAGGACGGATTAACTTATCAAAAACTGCTTATTACCGGTTTGGCACCGGTATAAGCAGTTTTCTTTTTCTTATCCAAACACTATGTATTAGCTTATCACCGGTGTCAGACTGAAATAAGTCAATAAGCAGATAAAATAAGCAATCCCAAACACTCCCTAAAAAAGAAATTGGCTCATAAATGAATTTAAATGTTGAAAATGATTATTTTAATAATTTTTTCATGTAAATTTCAGTTAAAGTCAAATTAAAAATTAAAATATATTAAATGAAGAAGAAATATTATTATTAAAAAAAAAAAAAAGAGGAACGGAGTAATTTGTAGAAAAAGGGTGTGAGAATTAAGATTTAATTAAAATACAGTATATTTTTAATAAAAAATGATTTAATAAAAACCTAAACTGCAATAGAAATTTAAACAACAAATAAGTAGTCCAAAGAACATGTGATAGTGGGTTGAGGGGAGTGTCAGCCGAGCATGTGAGACCTTCACTCATGTTAAAAAGCCAAAAAGGCGGTGGTCAATGCCACGTGTTATCCTTTTATTGGATACAGGACGTGCTCTTTTTTTATCTTTAAGCAAATTTATTAACTTTGAATGGCAAAATTTCGTTTAGTTTTTCCTTTTCTCGAACGTGAGAGCACGTGTCATGCTACGGTCACGTGATTTGTGGTGGGATGCACGTCCATCGGTCACGTGGAAGTTGGTGAAGAGGGGGGATTTGTAGGTTGAATGGTTGATGGGGGTATGGAATGGGAATACTCATCTTGATGCATACGAAAAGAGTGAATTTAAAGCGTCTTTTTAACCCTTTTTTCTTCTTGTTTTTGCTACAAATCATATTACACACATGATCATTATTATTTAAATTTTAATAAATAAATAAATAAATATATATATATATATATACTGATATTTGTAATGAAATTTGATCGTATAAAAATCATAGATTCTATACAGGTATGATATATGACATATTAATATAACCAGACACGTTCTAACTCAAAACATAAGTTTTTAAATACTGGTTGATACAAAAATCATGGATTCTGTACGAATATAGATATACCAAGTGCATAGAAAGTGTGGTTGAGCCTATAGTACAAATACTTGAGAACGTTTTAGGCACTCTCTATTTTGTAGTACCGAGAACAGATACTTTTTGAACATGATAATAGTTATTTATCATGCATAGGTGTAAGGAGGCTTGGGAACGTACACAACTCCTTATACCCGATGATTCAGTTAAACATGTTTATATCCATATTGCTGACTAGGAAGATATTCTTTCACTTATTTTATTTTATTTTTAAATCGCTTTATGATATGATAAGCATAAAGACGGGATCACGTGAGACCAGACATTTTCCATGAGATTTTGAGACATGCCGTAGATGTTCAGATTTTTCTTCCTGTGAAGATTCAGTGTGGTTTTTCCCATGAAAGTTTGTTGTGCTTTTCTTTTGTTTTCTTCCATGTGAATGTTATGATCCTGTGAAGGTATAATGTTTTGCTGAGAAAGTTCGTCAAGATTTTAATAAAGATCATCCATGGCTCTATTGGTCTTGTTGGACCAATGAAAACTGAGTTGTCTTGCATCATCCAAATAGAGGGGAGGGGAGGGGTGGGGTGGGGTGGGGTGAATATTCCTGTACCACCCCTTGTTGGTCCCGAAGGACGGAGGGTTTCAGTTCGCTAGGTTGTCTCTTCTCTGCCCATGGGATAAATAGACACATCTCATTGCACTGATCGGGGGCATTCCTATGGTAACTGAGTTCATGAATTATATACAATACATGCACACCAGTCGTCATATTTCCATTTCAAGTCCTACAAGGTTACTGAGGATTTTCCTAGTTGTTCTCTAGGTCCCAATAGATTAGTCATGGTGTGTACAAGCTGACTCGAACAACCATAGTTAACAAAAGATATTGTCATATTCCCCACCCTTTTTGATAAATTTAATGGGCCATTTTAGAAGTTTAAATGGACTATGTCTAATCAAAGCCCAATAGATATTTGTCCATGAAGAAGAGACTTTGCATAGATTAGTTGGGATGTTATTACCTCTTAAGAGACTTTGCATAAATATTCATGCATTAATTAATAATATATCTGAAAGTTTAGTTTACCTTATTTTTAAAAATGGACACATGGATTAACTTAAATAAAAATGTGCAAACTGATTTAATTTAGCTAACTAAATGCCCTAAATTTATTTAAAACAATATAAGAAAAAAAGCTGACATGATCAAAATTCAAAATGCTTCCAAGTTAGAGCCCAAAAGTGTTTACAGCCCAGTCCAGAAGTTCGATCCAACAGAAGCAACCCAACCCAAAAACTAAAAGAAACGCGGGTTTTAGCCACCCTGAATCCGACCCAAAAAAAGAAGCACGCGGACCCGGGTCAAACCTATTCGTTTCGCTTCTGACCCAAAACCGATTCGCCATCCTTCTTGTTTTACCTGGAACGCAACGAACAACTCTAGGACTGGGTTTTTGGCCAAATTGGGTAGATTTTCAAGCACTATTTATGGGGTCTTTATGAAATGGTGTAGGGTTTTTCCGTAATCCAAATGTTCTACACGAAAACTCGAAATTAACCATACAAAT